GGCCAGTCCGGGCCAGCCGTCCTGACCATGTCCCATCCCAAATTCTTGTAGCAGGGAAGCTGGGAACACAGGCACAGCACCAGACACCAAATAAAAGTCCCTGACACGGTACGAACACTCTTTAGCAACAACTAAGCGTTATCAATACTCTTCTCTGCACAAACCATAGCTTCACATTAGGCACTGAAGAAAACCGTCCCAACCAAAACCAGCACAGCACCTTAAAGGCAGAATTTAACACTTGGGAGTCCAACTGACCCCGTGCCAGCCAGTCCATACCGGCAAACACCACTGCGATTTCTCTTCAGAACAACATCCACCTCAGACCTGAAGTCTGCCTAGTGAAGTCTGTTTTATTTTTCTCTAGCACAGGCCAACAGCAAACACTTAAGGAAAGACAAGGAGGATCCAGGTGAGTATAACGTGACTCCTTCCCAGTCATACCCCTTCGGCTTCTGCTAATCACCAATTAATGATTTACTGAAGCAGGAAGTGTCTAGCTTATCACAGCAGTCACCACCGGGCTTAAGTTAGCTACGGGTTTTATCTCCGATACGTTCAGCTACGTAAAAATGTTTCGTCTGTACTCACAGCAGCAAGAAAACGGTAAATCCTCACCAAGGCAAAAAATTGATCGGCAGCACAAATGTTACGAAAACAAGGAAAAACTTACCGGTGTGATGTTAGGCAATGAAACAAACAGAACAAATTCAAATATCCCTGAAGAACTGTGTAAACAGAGCAAAGAATTAATGACATTTATTACTTATGGCTTGATTGGAACCTGGAGACAGACCCTGCAAATAAAGCTCCCCTCTCAGTAGAACAGGAAAGATAACTTTCTATGCATAGCAAAACAGAAACAACAACAAATTAAGGTAATTTGTTTAAACAAGTGACATGTATAGATCAGAACTAGGAAACACCTCAACCTGAGCTGGTTTGTAAAGAATCATAAAATAATTTAGGTCAGGAGAGAGCTCTGGAGGTCTCTACTCCAACCTTTTCCAGTTGAGTTCTGAATATCCCCAAGGATGGGGTCTCCACTGCCTTCCTATGACTCTGAGTAGGAAGTTATTTCTCCTTATATTCAGCTGGGATGTTCTTTAATGCAATTTGGGCCCACTGCAACACACGTTTTTGCTACGCACCTCTGAGAAGAGCATGGCCCTGTCTTCTCTAAACCCATCCATTAAGACAGCCGAAGAACAAAATACGAGAGGTCCCCAGAGCCAGCCTGAATAAACCCAGAGCTCTCAAACTCTCATCACACGACATGTGCTCCGACGCTCTCCTCTCAGCAGCCCTACGGCGCACAGTCCTCCAGATGTGGTCCCACAAGTGAAGCACAGAGGGGATTAATCACCTGCCTTGACCTGCTGAAGGGTCTTCCTAATGAGATTCCTTAATTATGCAAGGGTGCACTGCTAACTCAAACCCAACTTGTTCACATCCAACGTATGAGTAATGGGATTGCAGGTAACAACACCGATGTTTTATAGAGTATTGAGATGTCTCTACTGCTAGGGCATCAACAGAAAACATGCCTGCTCATTGCTACGTCAACTTATTTTTATCAACTCATAATGCTTCTGCTACAGTCTAGGATCTCATGATTCAGGAAAAAGGTGGGTGAATTAAAAAAAAAAAACCCCAAACAAACAAAAAACCCCCCAAAACAATCAAAAAAAGAAGCAGAGGTAGAAATTGTTGTTTTAAGAAGACAGTAAGTGACAATAACTCAAGTATAAGGACTTTACGAGTGACAAACTAACAGCCAGAACTTACTCTACAAAGTTGAAAGCAATCTGTGCCCATCAGAGAAGAGGAACATCTTAAATAACTTCTTCATTCACGGAACAAAAAGGCAGACCTAGTCTGCCACCAGATCCACTTCAAGGGAACCCACACGAGAAGCAACCTCAGTAATTCCAGATTGGCTACAACAAATTGCAACACTACAAAAAGGAGGCTGAATTTTCAAGAAAATCCAGAGGCAGAAAGACAAAGATGACTCCCATATTGCAGAAAAGCCCCAGAAGAAAGGCTAAATTCCAGGACACGCTCTCCACCAATTCTTTCACTTATTCCAGATCACCCACGCTTCTCATCACGCCAGCATCTGTTCCATTTTAGCTAATTCATGTCGAAAAGCTATTTTCATAGCGAAAAGCTATTAGCCAGCTGCAAATTGTTCATTATTAACTTTGAGAGTAAAGGAAACGGACTGCCATGAGCACCCTAATTACACCTGAAGTCTCATCCTTTTCTCATACCTGGTCAAAGAAAAGCCAAAATAGATGGGGACAACCCAAAAACTGACACCATGGAACAAAGCGTCCGATTCCCCGGCGAAGTCATTTGCTATTTGCTCTGGTGAGAAGATGGTATTTACCAGGATGCTACGGCCAAGGAGGATGTGCCAATCTCCAGTTGGCCACGAAGGGTTTCACTGTTTAACCTTTTTGTGGGGCATTCATGCACGATGAGACAGCAGCCGCCCGACAGCAGCAAACAGCATTAAGACCAGATCATTCTACATTAGATGGTGTAGACATACGCTTTAGTGGTGTTACTTTGCTCCTGCATCACATGAACCTACAATCCGGATACACAAGTTCTACTACTACTACTCTTATTCTTCCCTATTGCTTTAAAAAGGCGATGCTTGAAACCATGACTTCCCCTCCCCCCAAGATGGTAGAGTAAGCAATATTTCTTCTAAAATTGCAGCTGTCCAACAGTTTGAGTCTGTTCTTTTTAAAATGAAACAGCCAGAACAAATGGTGGTGGCAATCCCAACGTAAAGAGGCCATCGATTATTAAAATCTCCTTACTATAAATCGTGGATGTTGCTTGTCAGCTTGGTGTGTGACTGTAGTATGAATAAAGTAGGTAAGATTCCACTAAGGCTAGAGTTTGCTTGATCATTCTGCTGTGCAAAAATAGAAATAAAAGCTCTCTCCGTCCTTTCACTCCTTGGTACCAAAACATTCATACACACACCCCAAGAAAAACACTGCAACGGTCGCTGATCCAATTCCTTTCTTTCCTGAGTCTGCCCTGATGCTACTTAGGAATTTGCCTACTCAAGAAATGCAATAAAACAGAAAAAAAAAAAGACGGCTTCATTCTGCTTCAGTGATCTATATCTAAGGAAAGCACATAAATCTTCCAATGAAATCCATAAATGAAAGACGAGGCCAAGCCCTACCTATATATCTTCAAAGTTGCCGAGACAAAGAGGTGCCAACTGTGCCCTCTGAAAGCACAAAATCTCCCCCGCACCCACCGAAGCAATCTTTGCCAGATTAACAGAGGCAAGGATGATGTGGCCACCCTACGCCGAGAAGGGGCTCAGGGGGGCTAAAAACCTGCCGAGGAGCCACGCCGTAGGAGTTCACCACGCTGACCGTTCAGCGTGAGGGAGGGACGAGAACAAGTCACTTCCCTCCCTCCCCTCCGCCCTTAGAAGCCGAGGGGAGAAAAGGGAAACCCACCCTCCACACTAAGCCATTTCCCCCTTTTTAAGCGATTCCCATATAAACAGGGAAGATAAACATGGAATGTTGTGGCAACACTATGCAAATTTCTACATATCCGTATACAAAAAATTTGCATGGGCTCTTCGTTTTGAACGTACCACAGTCCTGCCCGTCTCCAACACTTCCCTGCGCTGTTTCCATCGAAACGTTTCCTCTTACCGGCAGCAACATATCATTTTATCAGGATGCCAGGAGATCATTTCCACACAATGCCAGCAGATGCAATTTTCTTAGATGCACACACAGTTCATCATTTAGATACTAGATGACAAGGTGATCGCAGGGTGACTCTGCAATGCAAGTTCGCTGTTTGGTATTTTGAATTCTCAAATGATAAAAAAAAGACTTATCAAATATAAATATCTTTAAGAAAAAAGTAACAAAAGTGCTACATATGATCAAGGAAAACAATTCCATTAGTTTCTGCTACTTAAAGTACGTTTGCTTTACAAAGATTACCACATCCATTATCAGTATGGCTTCCAATTATTAATTAAATTGCTCGTAGCAGTATAGCTTTCTCACATCTTAACAAGGACAGAGTAAAGAGAACACAAAACATTCACACCCCATTTCTCAGGTAAGAGATCCTCCTGCCTTGAAACACAAACCAGTTTGTATTTAGGAGACTATTTATGCTGGGATGGTTATCTAGCACAGGTCAGATGCAAAAGGTCTCCAGGAACCTCTCAGGCTAGTCAGGACGTAGGCATTAGCTACACAGACATGTAAAAATCCACTCACCCACTTAACGACCGTAATACCTTCCTGGGAAACATTGCTTTTGGAAAGTGGCAAAGTGGAGAGGGGAGCAGGGTGGGGAGAGAAAAGGCGAGAGGAAGAATAAAAGGTGAAATTGTTAACGACAGATCAATAGAGTCTAGACCTCTTCTGAGCAGGCACTGCTAGCCATGCCAAATAATGAACAGTGGTTTTGAGAAGTGGACTGCTGTCCATTAGACATTCAGCTCGTTTGTCATATGATCCCAGGCTGGGCTTCCATCACAGTCCCAGAGGCAGAAGGCAGTACTCATCCACTAAGCCACGCAGCCTGTGAGAGTGGAGGATGCCCGTGTTGAATATGTGAACATCAACCGAAATCTATGAACGTGTTTCCAACGGACATTCTCAGCACAGCACCCAAAAGTCTATCAAGTCACTGTATGACCGGTGAGGCACGGCTTATTGCAGCTGGATATCATTTATTCCTATGCTGAAGTGGGGTTTCTAGTGTTCTTTTTACTCTCTGTTGATACTCCCGATCTGGTGTCCATCGACCCTGTGCCACTACCTCAGCTTGCATCCTTTCAGTCTCAGAGAAGGAAAAGCGTACAGACTTTTTTTAACACGATCTCTAAGGGTATCCAAGATTTTCAGTGTAGCCTAAGACTTGTACTTGAGGGCTGTCTAAAATACCTGGAAGCACTTTGAATGCTAAGACAGAGCAGCAAGATTTTTCTAGCCACTGGGGCTGGGAGAGGGAGGTTGGTTGGTTGATTGATTATTTATTGGGAATTAATACTGAGAGAGTATATGCAAAGGCTGAGGGCACCATGCCATCTTCACAGAACAAGACCCTAACAGCTAACTGACGTACAAGAAACTGCAAAGTTATACTGTAAGAACACATATTAAGGACCGAGGAAAGTCTGCTAAGGTGCTACGTCTAAAACTAAGTTACTTCTTGCTTTGACCCTCCCCTTCCTTTGTATCAGTCGTCGTCTAGAGCCTCTGTCTTGATCTCGTTGGCTCCTTGCCGGGCCAATGCCAAGATGGTGTGGTTTACCGCTGCCATTTCCACGGCTAATGAAATGGGGTCTTGATGGTCACTATGGCTAGTGCTGTCATCCTGTGAATGGGGAAAGGAGAAGAGAGAAGCATTGTTACTCCCTAAGCAGCAAACCAGCAGGTAAAACTGGTGTGTAAAGTAACGGACTAGGGGCAGCACATCCATTACAGGGTGGGGAGGCACTGGGACAGGTTGCCCAGAGATGTTGTGGATGCCCCATCCCTGGGAGTGTCCAAGGCCAAGCTGGATGAGGCTTGGAGCAACCTGGTCTAGTGGAAGGTGTCCCTGCCCATGGCAGGGGGGTTGGAACTGGGGGATCTTTAAGGTCCCTTCCAACCCAAACCGTTCTGGGATTCTATGAGGATTCTATGATTACAGGGGTAGAAAGTGAAAGGAATTTACAAAATCGACGTGGGACTGATTTCCCTCACTGCGCAGGCAAAGGTAAGCGGGCCAAGGAGCAGCGAAGCCAATTGTCGAGAGAGGAATTTGGGGATAGAGAGGGATATTCTGAAGAAAATATTAAATAATGAAGATAAAAGCGATGGACAAGGTATGTCAGAAAACCAAACTAAGACAGGAATCTTTACGCGCCGCATAAATTCATGCTACGCTCACGTTGTGAATACACAGGGCTGACCATCCCATTTAAAGAATTAGAACAGGTGGAGAACAGCTACCCAGGGGAAGAGGCATGGGGTGGCTTCCGTATGGGGAGAGGCTAAATAGGCTCTGGCTCTGTAGTTTGGAAAAGAAATGGCTGATGGTTGATATGGTAAATGTTTATTACAAATAACTAGTAAATAGAGAGCAATTGCTCATGGCTTCTCAGGATCTAAGAAGCAAGGGTACTCCCTGGAATGGTAATATATTCCAAAGCAGTGACGGGAAGCGCTGCTTTACTTGTCACAGTTCAGCTGTGGGATTCACTCTTTTTTAGATCAGACAAAAGTAAAAATGGCTTTAAATAGTGAAGCACTGGGACAGGTTGCCCAGAGAAGCTGTGGATGCCCCATCCCTGGGAGTGTCCAAGGCCAGGCTGGATGAGGCTTGGAGCAACCTGGTCTAGTGGAAGGTGTCCCTGCCCGTGGCAGGGGGGTTGGAACTGGATGGTCTTTAAGGTCCCTTCCAACCCAAACCATTCCATGATTCTATGATCATGTGAAGACACTGAATCACACAGGTATGTGGAAAAGATGATGAAAACCTCGTAAAAACCAGCATAATGATTCTGGGGGACAGGAACTACCATAATTCAAATATCCAGGTGAACACACTGCCAGGTTCTCCAGTCACTGATCTACACGTCACACAGAATCCCAGAACAGTTTGGGTGGGAAGGGACCTTAAAGCCCACCCAGTCCTGCCCCCTGCCATGGGCAGGGACACCTTCCACTAGACCAGGATTCTCCAAGCCTCATCCAGCCTGGCCTTGGACACTTCCAGGGATGGGGCATCCACGTATTTCTCTGTGTCTATATTCTAAAGAGCCAGGTGTCTCAGCTCTAAGAGGGCCAACCGTGCTGACGCTGCGATGGTTGGCAAACAAGAGACACTGTGGTGCTACAGGACTGCAGGTAAACTTTTAAAACCAAGGAACAGAAGACAATTAACTCTGTTCTGACTAAAGCCAGCACAAAGGGCCACCTTCTCCACCTCTGTAACGGCCATACAATAGCAGACCTAAAAGTCTGACAACTCTAGCATAAATCTTATAGTGAGCTGTGCGTGTTTATCAGCTTACATCAGCACAGGGCTCGGTTTTGAATGACAGGAAGAAGAACCAGCAATATCCAAACTCCAATCCCATCTGTTAAATAAATTCTTCTGGGACATTGGGCAAAATCACTGTGTTTTCCCCTCTTTAAAATGGGGTACTAATAGTTACCACACCACGCTCTTGCAATTTCTTATGATTTTAATTTGCAGCAAGGAAATAATAAACATTTATCAGTCTTCCAACAGCCTTTAAGTGATGAACTTGCAAGATTTAAAATGTGTGTTACGCATTCTTAAATTAAGATGACTAGTGGCAAATGCTGAGGGGGACAGAAAATCCTGAAGTTAAAGGAATGCATTAATTTACACCAAATGCAGGGCAAATATTGCAATGTGCACACGCCCTAAGGTCCTCTCGCTAAGATTTACAAAGTCCTGACCGCTGGAGGTTTAGTCACTTCGTTAGCATTAGGATGAACTTTGTGTTTTAGAGTTTACTGGAGTTTAAGCATCACTGTGGAAAACAGAAATTACGGTTTTAACAGCTAAGGAATGTTAACGGTCATCAGGAGAGCTCACCATTTAATCCGCTTCGCTGCTAATGACTAATTACACTTCGTACAGGAGCCCCAGCCAGATTACTGAGAAATGTAATTTTTTAAGGACTCTAAACAAAGATCTTTAAATCTTAATAACCAATTAATTCCTATTTTCAAAGTATTTTGGATAACACACAGAAGAAAAACAGAGTTTGGGAGTCTACACCACACTTCATCTCCGCATTCAGGTCCTGCATCTGACTGACAAGGAATTATCTGTGCTCGGCAGCAGTTTCCAAGTATTTTATAACAGCCAGAACGCAGCCTCTCATCTGGAGCTAGCAAGGTTGGTTCCACCAAATCTGCTGGCGATGACCTATAAAAAGGGCCTTAATACCCATCAGCAGAGCGGCTGGGAACGCCTCTGCCAGCTATCTGCTGCCTGGGCTGCAGCCAAGTCTACGAGGGACTCATTCCAGGTCACTCGGTTGCTATTACGCTCCACCAGCAGCCTTTAGAGAGGGAAATCTACCTACTTCTCCCAAACGAGTCAATTAAAAGCGACCTGCCCACCCCAGATGTTGGGTGTAGCTCACATCAAAACCAGAATCGAGTACGTGAACTGTTCAGCAACTCCACTGGTGCCGAGCACACATGGCCCTGAGGGGTTTTGGCCAACACTGATACCTGAAGGAAAACTGGGAAGGGGATGCAATACCTGTCAGGAAGGTGTGTGAAGGAAGGGTCACCAACTTTAGGGTAGGTGAGGGCTCAGAGTGTGGGAAGGGGTATTCTTTTGCTAGAGGATTTAAAAAAGAAGTTTCTGTCAAGGGTTAAAAATAACCAAGAAAAATAAAGAATACGCAAGAGTTAAAATGCAAAAAGAAAAAAAGAAAAGGAAAAAAAAGATAATATGTAAGCAATCCGAATAGTGGCACCTTGTTGCAAAGAAATAGGAAGCAGGTAGGAGGCCAAATAAACGTTAAACCTCGATTTAATCAAATCCTTTCCCCCCATCCTTCCCCCCTTTGTCTGTCAGTGTTTTAGGGAGATGCTCCTGAAAGGTACTCCCAGAGAGGGAGCTCAGCACCTGATAGGAGGGTGCCCAGTACCTTGCTGGGCAGAAGGGATTAGAAAGGGGCAGGGGCTCGCTGCTGTACTCGCAGCAGCCGTAGCACAGGCTGTAGCGGAGACATTTCCTGCAGACAGAAATAAAAGGTGCAAGAGGAACACATGTGCCCTGCTTTGCAGGGAAGCAGGTTGGTGCCTGATGTGCAGGATCACTGTTAAAGACCTGTACATCCTTTCTGGCAGATGGGAACAGTGCCAGGGGTAAGGAGAGCGCAAGTTATGCTTGGTGCAGGGGGTGAGTTACACTCTCCTAACAATATTCATACATTGCGTGTGGCGTGAGTGGTGTAACTTGCTTGTTTGGAGCAGATCCTCCTGTCTTCTTCTACCTTCTCTGCTTCTCTGCCTCCCTCTGAACATCTTCCCTCCTCCTCCCCGTTGCGTACTTGCCAAGTGTCCTGTTGTACGACAATAAACCCGTGTGGGTGAACACTGGTTGCTCATCACACCCAAACGGGGGAGCTCTGCTCTCCCCATCACAATTAAATAAAAGCCAAACAAAACCAAGAGACAGCCAATTCGGGAGAGGTAGAGGACCCCTCCACGCTTACCTGCTCCGCGTAGTCATTGCCATCCACGTCGTCACTGTTGGAATGACCTCCCGGACTCTGTACATCTATCCCATGGCTCTCCAGGATTGCTGCTTCTTCGAAAAAAGCAAATGGATCCCTAATTTATCTGATGCATTGGAGTAATTAAAAGTAACGACTGCTTTTTCAAGAAAGAATAACTGGAAGAACAGAGTTAGTTCTTAGCCTCTTCCTCTTAACTCCTGGTATTTGGGAAGGTAACACCTGTACAGATACTGGTTTGCCCAAAATCCTTCCCTGCCAACTAACAGACTCGTTTGTGAGTAAGAACCCTTGTTTTCCAGCCAGTCCTATTAGCAATTAGCTTAATTTCTAATACACTGGAATGGCAAAGGCATTCCCTGTAGATCTTCCCACACAGTTTGGACTGGCAGAACTTGAGGGGAGCGGGGAGTGTCTGAAAATAGATGGAGATATTTTTTAAAGCACTTAAGGGATTTCAAAACACACATATCTTGGTCTTCATGTCGGATCCATGCACCTAAAGCTCCCGTTGGATCTGTTTTCCAACCCTCCTCCCCACACAGTACAGATACAGCTATAACTCCATCCACCCTGGACTAACTTTGCCTTGTTTCCCCCACACTCTTCAACAGGTTTCATGTTTAAAAAAAAAACAAATTTAGGTTAAATTTCAGTAACACATGAAATGGCATAGAAAATTTTTTTCTTATTGATAAACATGGCAAAAAGCAGCAGACAGCAAACATTTGACTGTCTGTCAGAACATCTGACATAGCAGACGGCGTGACATTCGGCGTTTGCAAGAGCAGTGGTTAACCACACTCTTCAACAGGTTTCATGTTTAAAAAAAAAACAAATTTAGGTTAAATTTCAGTAACACATGAAATGGCATAGAAAATTTTTTTCTTATTGATAAACATGGCAAAAAGCAGCAGACAGCAAACATTTGACTGTCTGTCAGAACATCTGACATAGCAGACGGCGTGACATTCGGCGTTTGCAAGAGCAGTGGTTAACAGGCAGGTAGG